CAGCCCGCGGCGGCAACGCACGAGCACCGCGCAGCCCTCGCCGCGCGAGCGCGCCCGCACGCGCCCGCTCACAGCGGCCCCCGCGGCGTCCGTGGCCGAGCGGTCGGGCGGGTTGCAGGCTCGCGTGGCCAGGGCCGCCAGACGCCAGTGGCCTGCGGGAGGCGCTCTCTTTCTGTCTCCCTCTTCCTCTTTCTCGTCCTCTTCCTCTTTCTCGTCCTCCTCCTCCTCCTCCTTCTCCTCCTCCTCCTCCTCTGGCCCTCGTTCTCGTCCGCATCATTTGTCTCCTTCTCGTCCTCGTCCTCCTCTTCTTCCTCCTCCTCCTCCTCCTCCTCCTTCGGTGTGCCGTTGACGATCGCGCTCCCCTGCGAGCGATGCATGCCACGCCCACAAGTTGCAGCAGGCAAGCCTGGAGCCACGCGGAGGCCAACCTGCAAAGCAGGCGAGCCCGCAGCCAGGCTTAGCCTTGGCACTGCGCAGCAGCATCACACAGCGTTATCAGAAGACGGACCAGGGCGAGAAGGAGGGAGAGTGGGCGGTAGGAAAAGGCAGGGTCAATCCGCATCGAGTCGGGTCGGCTCGGGAAGGCGGACCGAATCGCAATGCGCGTCGGATCGGGGCTGCATCGGCACGGAGTCGAGATCGAATTGGGTCGGTTGCGCCAGGATGCTGAACGACGCCATGCGAACATCGGGCTGCGTCGGATCGTCAATATATCGGAGCTGGATCGGGTCGAGCTGGCTCGAGCCGACATCGAATCGGATCGATCGGATCTAAATAGAACTTGGACACAGGCCGACGACGACGGCTTCTCATGAATGCAATGCCTGCTGGAGGAGAAGGGGTCCTGGATCTGCCTCGCCGCCCTGGGGCCCCATAGGAGCGTCAAGAACGATTCGGGATGGGCTCCTCCTCCTCCTCCTCCTCCTCCTCCTCCTTCCTCCTCCTCTCTCCTCCTCCTCCTACCTCCTCTCCTCCTCCTCCTCCTCCTCCCCCTCCCCCTCCCCCTCCCCCTCCTCCTCCACAATTACTCAATATGAAAATACTCTCCCTCTTCCCCTGATGGCGTCCGGGTGATGGCCGCGCACCCTCCGCGTACTGTTTTTTTACACACAGGATTCCCGGGAAATCCCGGGAAACGACTCTCGCTGAGGCGCCGGCGTCATTTTCGGGCCGAACGCCCCCCGCGTATTGTTTTTTTACACAGGATTCCCGGGAAACGGGTTTTCGCTTGCGTTTTTTTTCAAAATGATGCTCTCGCTGAGGCGCCGGCCTCATTTCTGCTCCCGAATCGTTCCGAATCGTGCTACCGCTGCAGCGTGGGCCTCATTTTCGGATCGGTGTTTGGCCTCCGTCGTTCAGGATGGCGTTCTCGCCCCAGCGCGGGCCTCTTTCTCGCGCGCCCATCCGCCCGCCACCACTGCGCCGCACCACCACCACCACCACCACCACCACCACCACCACCACGACCACCACCACCACCACCACCGCCACCACCACCACCACCACCGTCACAACCACCACCAGCACCGCCACCAAGCACACACGCACGCACGCACGCACGCCGTGCACCACCACCCCTACGCACGCGCGCGGAGCACAGGTCCGCTACGACCGCGTCCGCGGATAAGAGAAAATCAGCGCCATGGAAGGGATGGAGGGGGGGTAGGCGTCAGATATGACGCGAAGCGCACCTAGCTTGTCCCGACCCCCCCCCACTCCTCCCTCCTCCCCTCCTCCTCCTCCTCCGCTTCCTCCTCCTCCTCCTCCTCCGCCTCCTCCTCCTCCTCCCCTCCTCCTCCTCCTCCTCCTCCTCCTCCTCCTCCTCCTCCTCCTCCCCCATCCTAGATCCGCCCGCTGCTAAACACCGGTGGTCCAAGACTTCTTTCCCTCAGGATCCCTTCCCTTCATGGCGAAACGACGGCCGCGGCGGCGGCGCTGGCGACGGCAACCTCGGCGGCGATACTGCGGCGAAGCCCCCTGCCATATCCTGGTTGCCGTAACTTCGAGGCGGGTACAGCGGTGGCGGCGAGGAGTGCCCCCGAAGGCCAGGATCGGCTGAGCAGCGTGCCGCCAGCCTGGACTCCAGAACGTCGGCCTGCCCTTGCGACTGCACCTGCTTCCGCTCTTGCGGATGCTGCGGCTCCTCCTCCACCCCTCCTGGCATCGACCCCCTCCACCTCGACTTCCACTCTTGTGTGCTGTCGCTCCTGTGGACACGACTACCAGGGGAGACCTGGTCTCCAGACCCCGTCCATGCAGTCCAGCGATCGATCAGTAAGTCAGTCCACAGCTCGTGGGCGCCGCGACGCCGCGGCAGCAGGCACAGCTGAAGCGAAGCCAGGAGACCCTCTCGCCCATCAAAGAGAAGGCCCTGGCAGCCAGCGCTCAAGCGGCACGAGTTTGCCGAGTACCGTCCTACCTAACTGGCCGCTGAGGCAGGCAGAGCTGGCCACCATGAAGCAGAACAATACGGCTGAGCACAGCCCCAATGAACGGCTTCACTCTGCCCTCGGTCGCCTCCATGGGAAAGAGAAGCGCCTGATGCATTCAACAAACGGACTCAGCAGCTTGCACCGCCACTCCCGTGACCAAGAAACCCTGCAGGCCGGCACGTGCAGAAGGAGCTGGCCAATCTCAACGACGCAGAGGCCGAGGCGCGTCCGGCCAGCGTGGTGGCACAGCCTGCTCAGCCTCTGGCAAGGGGCACCGCGGGGAACGCTCGCGACATCTCTCGACCGTGTCCGTCAGGCACGCTAGCGAGCTCCAGACGCTGGACGAGTCTAACGTGGGGACATCCTCCTCCAGGCAATCGGCGCACGTGTCCGACAGCGCGGCATGGTCCTGTCGAGCCGCGCTGAGACGGGCCGACGGCCCACTGGCAGGTCCAAGGAAGTCTTTTGAAAAACGACTACGGACGAGCAAGCCTGATTAAAGAATCATGAAGCGGGATTGACCCAAATCAAGCGGGAGATTGAACCGAATCTCGCGGGATCAAGCCTGATTATGCTGGAGGCAGGTTTCGACCGCAAAGGAAGCCAGCGCCGATGGTGAATTTGACCTCCCAGGAGTTGCATCCTAACAACTGTGGGCCGCAAGGGCGACGGGCGGCCCACGCGAATACTCAGTTCGACGGTCGGCAGCGGCGGCACGAAAGGGCGGCGCGGCGCAAGGGCCGCACCTGCGGCGAAGGGCGCGGCCTGCGCGCGACGACTGACGAGCAGTACGAGCAGCGGAGCTCACCCGCAACTAGAGGCGGACACGCAGGCGCAGTGCGGCCTCGTTCATGCCCCGCGGGAGGAGTCGCCCGCGGAGCGCCGGAGGGAGCTCGGCGAGGCAAGGAGAGCCGCGGGGGGCAGGCGCAGGACTTCCCCCGCATCCGCACCGGGGGCTGGGTCAGCAGCGGCGCCATCGGACACTGGGCAGGGGCGGCGAGCCGAAAGGGGCGCCCTCCGCCGCAGCCTCGGGAGAGCAGTGCAGCGGCAGCAGAGCTGGCGCTCGCTGCCACTGCTTGCAGGAGCTGCACCGCCCAGAGCGGCGAGCGGCGGCTGCCCACGTCCGCATCGGCTGCAGCAGGGGCGGGAGGGGCACGCGGGCAGGGGCGGGGGGGCAGGGCCTGGAGACCAACGCCGCCAACTGCAGCGACCGCGAGACGACGACGACGACGACGACGACGACGACGACGACGACGACGACGACGACGACGACGACGACGCCGCCCTGCCGCGCGGCCTCCGCGCTGTGGGAGGCCGCCGCGCGCGCCTCCGTCACGCGCCTCCGTCGTCGGCCTCCGTCGTCGGGCCGTGAAGCGCAGAGGCGGCGTCGGAGCTGGCCGCCGCACGCCCGGCGGCGGGCGCGGGGCGGGAGCGCCGCCGGGGGCGAGGGCGGGACCCTGAGGTCATCGGTTACGGCGGCTGCGGCAGGAGGCCTCTGGAGTACGCCCTGCGAAATGCTTAAGAAATCATGGGTTAAGAAATTCAGAGTCTCAGAACTTGAATAAAAACCCAAACATTCTATCAAAATCTTAGGGTTTACCTTGAAACGTTAAGAATAATCGAGACTCTGGCCGAACATTCAAGTTTTCTTAAGCATCGCCTAAGGTGTACATGGGGGACACATGCTGCAGCGCAAGCGGGGGGTGGCCGCCAACGCCAGATGGGGGCTCACTCTGCGTGCCTTGCGACATCGACTGCAGCGACCGCGAGGCAGTGTCCGCCGAACGGGGGCGCGGTCGGAGCCCGACGTCATCAGCTATACAGCGACTGTGCGAGAAGGGGCCGCCAGTGGAGGCGAAGGCGAGCCAGGCCGACCCCATCCACAACACGCTCCGACATCTCATCTGCATCCCCTCCTCCGCCTCCCTCCGGGGCGCTCCTGCCCACGCATGGTCTGCTCGGGCTCCTGCTCCGGAATTCGGCTCCTGCTGGTGTTGCTGTTGCTGCTGCTCCACCCCTCCCCCTGCCATTCCCCCATTTGAGCAGGGACCGACCGTTCCAGCATGTAGATGGGCCTACCACGACATGCTCACATAACAACCGTTCACAGACGAAAATCATGCCCTGATAGCAAACAAGTTCTTAGAACGAGCAACCTTTACATGAATGCAAGGCTGTCTCAGGCGTAAAGGTTCTAAGAATATATGGGGCAACATGCGAAAAGTTCGTGCGTTATTCCTTCGCGGCCCTACATGCAGGTCAGGACGCTTCTCCTCCTCCTCATCTGCTTGTCCCATCCTTCCTCTCCTCCTCCTTATTCCCCTCCCGAGGCTCCGAGAGGTGGTCGGCGCATGCCACCTCTGCGCGCACGCGCCGTGCGCGGCGATCTTGCCTGGGGCCCACCCTTATTGGAGGCCGGCCCTAGCAACTTTGTCAAAATCTGATTGGTTGTTCTATACTTTCAGCGTTACTGTCTTTACGGTCTTCAGAGCGTCCAAAATAACCTGAGAGGCCCTCAAAGCCCAAGGGGACCCCAAGACGGTCACAACAGGAGCTCAAGATGGGGGAGGGGAAGAAGCCCAAGCCAACCTGGGAGAGAACAGGGCGGACGCCATCATTACTGTCCTTTTGGCGTGCTCCTGCTCTGGCACGCCCTGTCCACCTCGCGCGCAGGCGGTGTGCTCGACCCCTGCTTCGGTCTGTTCGACCACGGGTCGCCGTGCCGCACAGCCGCACGGCCGGTGCGAATTCGTGCCTGCCGAGGCGAACGTGGCACGCTGGCCTCTGCGTGGACGGATCTGGGGACGGGGTCAGGGACGAGCGTAGAGGCCTCCCAAGCGGGATCCCAGTAAGTGGGTCCGGAGGATCACGCCGCATCGCAGATGCATGGCTGATGCACCGGCCATTCATCAGCGGCGTCGGCGATGCGCTGGCGACTTCGGCGTGACGAAAATCGAGCTCCAAATCGAGCCGCATCGCCGATGCATCGGCAATGAGGCGCGATCCTCCGACCCGACCTACTTCGACTCCATTTGGGAGGCCTGGAGAGCTGGCCGGCGCTCAGAAACCGCAGCCGGCGCTGAGAAACAGCCCTGGTCGTCCCCAATTAGTCGCGGCCGGCCTCAAGGCCAGACCGGGCTCGGGCCGCACCTCGTCGTGTGTGCGGTGCCAAGCTTTTTCTACAGGCCCCCTGCCTACTCACGGGCAGGCGGCAATCCGGAGGCGTGCTGGATGGATGTCGCAGGCCGGCGGCATCGCCGGCTTCCACTTCGGCTGCGGGCAGACGCCCAGCACGACCCAGGCGGCGACCGCACTCCACAGGCAGCGGAGGGCCGCTGTCCGAACCCCCCAGCGGCGCGCCCGGGTCCTCGGCCTGTCGCCGCCGCACCTGGAGCTCGGGATCGTCTCCATGACGATGATGCCCTCGGCCTTCCTGCGGGACCCGTCAACGTCGATTCGGGAAGTCGGATCGGATGGGCAGGTGCGCCGCAACGGGCTGCATCTGGGCACCGAACCGCGAATCGGGCCGGCCGCGCCAGGCTTCACAGAGAAGCGCCGTGCAGGCATCGGGCCATGGCGGACCGCCCGAGGAAACAGGATCGGATCGAGCCGGGCGAGGTCGGCATCGCATCGGATCGAGCGAATCGACATGGACCCCGTCCTGCGAAAGACTTCCCGGCGTGCCCGGTGGTAGTCCCTCGCCTCATCCTCGTCGGCCCGCGGGCCGCGCGGGCAGGGCTGCTGCGCCGACGACAGCTGCAACGCCTCGTACTGCCTCTCGATGTCGAAAGCCTCCTGTCGGAGAGGGGCCAGGTTGGGACCACGGATGCGCTCACCGGCGGTGCCCACGAGGGGTGGCGCGAGCGGGGGGACCTGCCAAGAATGCCAAGAAGGTAGGCTAGGCGCTTTCTGACAAGAAGGCAGGCGCTTCCTCCTCCTCCTCCTCCTCTTCCTCCTCCTCCTCCTCCTCCTCCTCCTCCTCCTCCTCCTCCTCTCGGCGCTGCTCGGCGCAGGTGTGGTCGAAAGACGCTGCCCATTTTTGTGCTCAAGGTCTTGAGCACGGCGCTGACTTTACTGTTTCCGCCGCCTACATCGCAGCCTGTTGAAGGAAGGTGATTTCCAGCGGGCCGCGATGCTCGTGAACATTGTGGTTGGATCGTGCTGGTCAGAAGGCCGCCTCCAAGGTTCACGATGTGCATCAGGCGGGAAGTGCCCCAGATGCGCCGACCACAAAGAAGATATGAAGCATACATGTTGGAATTGCCCGTATAATGAACATATGAGTAAGACAGCGGTTTTGACTACTGCACACCTTATTCCTGAAGCTGACGCTGCCACCCCCGACCCCGCTTTCTGGACCCGTGGGCCACCCTCGCTGGCAATTACGGTGGGATTGGTTTCCCCCCCCCTGTTCTCATGTGTGGTCCTGGGGGCTCTTTGTGCCTCAGCAGGTGGTCGAGGGCGGAGTCTGAGGCATTGATGGATCTGGAGGTAAGCATGCTCAAGATGACCGTCTGAGGAGATGTGGATGGTCCGTGGTGCGTCTTGGGGATCCCCATGAAGGCCAACCTCGTCTCAGTGCAGTGTATTGCGGCAGCCACCCCACACCCGATCTGTCCAGTCATGGGGCTGAGTTGTTCGCCTTCCCGGTCCTGCTGAACCATCGTGCTGGAGATATTGCTTATTATATTGACTACGCGCCTCTCTGCCGCGCTATGTCGAAGTCTCGGGCTCATACCTCCCAGCATTCGCCGATGCTCGATCTGTGGGCCCAGGTCTGGAGTGCGATCGATCGGAGAGGTCCAGGTAAGATCACGGTGTTGTGGACTAGACTAAGTCACATGCGACTGAAGAGTTGCAAGCTAAATTCGCCATCGGTCCAGATGAATATTTTCTTACATGATTGGAGTGCCGATTTCTTTGCTGGATGGGCGGTAGAATCGTCCGCAGTCCCGAATCATGTTGTGCAGCAGATTGCAGACTGTGATGCTCTCACCAATCCGTGCTGTGTAGATTGCTCGCCACCAACATGGAGGTGGCTACCCAGTGCAGGCGCCTCGCAGCCCAACGAGTGGGACGTGCTGCACCGAAGCCCCGCACCTTGCCTTCCCTCGGCACCAAGCAGGCCCGTCTTAGGGAGTCGGGACATTCCCGTGTCAAGAGGGGTGAGGTTCTTTGCTGTCAGATCTGTGCTCGCAAATTTTTGATGAAGGGTCCATTGAGGCGTTTCCTCCCTGGTCCGTATGCTGGCCCAAAAATCAAGACCCCAAGGACCCTTTCTGGACGAATCCGCTTTATCCCAAGGCCCACGGTTCCCATCAACTGTCTGTGGCCCGTGGATTGTTGTTTTGTGCTCATTGCGGCGGCTATGGAGTCGTCAATTCAGTGAACCTGATCAGGCAATGCCGTACCCACCCGTCCAGGACAGGAAAGGAAGTGCTCAGTCGTCTGGCCAAGGGTTTGTCGCCCAAGAGCAGTGTCTCGTTCCCTGAGCCCTGAGTGTTCGAGCGTGCCCTGGCTTGACCAGGTCCCTACGGCCCCCCGAACCGAACCGAATCCTCCTCCTCCTCTCCTCCCCCTCCCAGAGCGGGGGGACCTTCAAGAAGGCAAGCGCTTTCTTACAAGCCACCCTAGGCTTCTGGGGAGCCTTCTGAGCAGCCGCCGGGCTCTTCTCCGAAGCCCACCCACCTTCTCAGAAGCCCGCCCCCCTCGCGCAACCCCCTCGTGGGTCTCCGGGCGCCTGGCCCCGATCCGTTCCACATCGGTCCCAGGGGGACCCCCCGCGCGGGCTGCACGTGTGGCGAGTTGCTCGAGGACGATCCCGCCGTGGCCACGAGTAGCCCCCAGGGGCCCGAAGAAGAGGGAGCAGCGCCCAGGGAGCGCCGCCGCTGCCTCGGCGGGCCCTCCTCCGATCCTGAGCCTCCGGCTCCTCCACGCCGTGCGCCGGGACGTCGGGCGTCAGCGGGATCGCGCCGACGCCCTGGGGCGGCACTTCGGGGCCCAAGGCCGTGTGGCGAGGTGAGCACCGTTGGAACAGATCCCTAATCATCCCCACGTGCGTGGCCTGGGCCCCACTGGCCGTCTTGGCCCTCTTTGATGGGGACATGACCCTGCAAGGTCTTTAGACCCCTTCAATAGGGGGTGCGAATCATTTCTCGGTGGCCTTATTGAAGGACTGGGGTCCCGCCAATAGGGGGTAATTGATCATTTTTGTCCGCAGCACCCACCGCGCAACGACGACGACGACAGCTACGAGAAGGGAGGAGGAGGAGGAGAGGAGGACGAGAAGGTTTTAGCACCAGCCCTATTCATCGCCGGGAGAGAAGGGGGGGGACCAAAACTAAAACCTTTAGCGGTTCGGCTATTCGCTTCGGGCTTCGAAGGGTAGGTATATTCCCAACTGCTGGGGTGCTGAGATCGTCGGGCTCGGGATGGGGACGGGGATCTGGGGACTGGGGAAAGGGGTCAGTCAAACGGTGCTGACGACGGAACCGGAACCGCGAGGTGGCCTCAAAATCGCCGACGACCTCACCGCGCACTCCGCCGCCGCGTGGCCGTGGGACCTCGCAGGCCCCGGTCGCCCGAGACGCGCTCGGAGAACGGACCGAGCCCCCCCAAAAACCATCATTGCGGGGACCCCGAGCCCCCACTTCCGGTAGCCACCGCACCATTTGGGCCCTCCCACCCCGCTTCCGGGCCACGGCTCGGCTCTCTGGCGGCCGTGCGAGACGATCCGGGGGCCCCCAGAGCGCTCTCGACGCGGCGCAGCTGCTGGAACGCATCCCGAGGCAGAGGAAAGCAGCTGCCGCAGCTGCTTTCCTCAGCCTCGGGATTTTTCTGTTTTGAAATACACAGATTTGGCAATTCTGTTTTTGATGGTGGTACGTTTTGCAAACTGTTGGCAACAGTTTGCCTCAATCTGCACCACGGGAGCCCTGGTTCTGCGGTCGCACGCTTTTGCAGCCCCCCAGGGGAGTCCAACAGCTGCGAGACATGTGAGTCGGCACGCGGTGCTGCCAATGCTCGGAAGTCCTGGGGGCCCCCGAAGCTTGAGCAGGGACCGACCGTCCCGGCTTTCCTATAGGTCTACCACGAAGTTCTCTCAGAACCTCAAAGGGTTCCAAAAACGAAGACGAGGTTCTTAGAACATAGCCACGTTGTGCTAAAACAGAACCATCTCAGCCAGAACTGTTCTAAAAATTCGTGCAGCCACAACCAGTATCGAAAAGTATCGAGAAAACGCCGAACGAGTATCGCTTCCCAGGGGCCGACACGGAACAAAAACCTTCAAGCTTCGATACCTTCTTGGTGCTAGAGATTCTCTCTGGCGGTCAAGGCGATAAGGTAGGTTGGAACATCATCAGCCAGGACGCCTCGCCACTGCTTGACCCGACGCACCGGCGAAGGCGCGCCGTCGCTCCCGGCGACGGCCGCGGGGCGCCCGCGGCGCGGCGGCGTGGTGGGCGCCGCGCTGCGGGGCGCCGGCCGGCAGAGGGCGCCGCCGCGGGCCGCGGGGCTGCGCTCGGACGAGGGCGCTCGGTGGAGCGCGGCGGCGGCCCTCCCCGACGTGGCGCTTTCGTCCACGCCGGGAGGAGGAGGAGGAGGAGGAGGAGGAGGAGGAGGAGGAGGAGGAGGAGGAGGAGGAGGAGGGGGGAGGAGGAGGAGGAGGAGGAGGAGGAGGAGGAGGAGGAGGAGGAGAAGGAGGAAATTCAGGACCAGTCCTTTTCACCGCCGAGAGAGAAGGGGGGGGCCCAAACTAAATACCTTCAGCGGTTATGTGGTGTAAAGCCGCCCTGCTGTCTCGTCGTCCCTCTTGTCTCCCCTCCCCCACCTCCAACCGTAGACGCTGTAAATTGTGAGACAGCCGACGAGCAGCGCCTTGTTGTATCATGCCGGCGCGCTCCGGCATATGATTTTTCGTTCGTTCTCGGTACCCCAGACATCTGGCGTGTCGGACAAACAATAGTTTTCGGCTTCTCGGGGCCCTTACTGGGCCTCGGGGCCGTCAAAACATACCTCGAGGATGACAAACAAGTCCCGGGAACGGGTCGAGACCTCTGGGGGCTGACGTTCTGAAAAATCATGACGCCGGGGGTCTGGGTCAGTAGCGTGTCTCGCTCTCTCTGACTGGAGGCTTCTCGTCGCCACGGATGGATCCGCCTCGGAACACGGGCCAGGCTGGCAAAACTTTCGGTTGCGCACGGACTGCCCCCGCAGGTAACCCCAGCTGGCCTCAACAGGCCCCCCGAATATGTAGTCCGGGGCGGTCTCAACCCCCTGGCGCCGCCTCAGCACCCCAGGGTTGAGGCGGTGAGACCCACCCCCGAACTACTCGGGGGCCTGCTGAGGCCAGCTGGAACTACTCGGAGGGCCTGTTGAGGCCAGCTGAAAAACATGCAAGGGCTGTCCGTGCGCAACCCCAAGCCTTCCTGGTGGCGGCCCCAGGATCTTTCGCCCTCCCTGGCAACTCTTGGAAGCTTCTCGTCGCCGAGGCTGGAGCCGCCGCACGAGAAACGGGCCAGGAGGCACCCGCCGGAGGGGTCCAGGGGCTGATGCTGGGCGGAGTTAGACATGGGCGGGCACGCCGCCGATATCCTCCTCCTCCCTCCTCCTCCTCCGTCATCCTGCTCCTCCTTCCTCCTTCCTCCTTCCTCCTTCCTC